CCCCCCCCACACACACACACACACACATCCCCCCAACCTTGTACTCCCTGATCCAAGACCTCCCTGCCGAGTGGAACATCCGAACACAGCATGTGCGTTTGGCTGCTTGCGCCCTCCGCTCCCCCCTTCTCCTCCTCCTCTCCTGTCCTGCTCACACCTCCCTCCAAATGCATGCTGCTGTGCTGACTACCTCCCTCCTCTCCACACGCACACACGCACACACACACACACACACACGCACACACGCACCCTTTTCCATCAACCAGGTCTCGTCTCATTGTCAAGAACATTCCTCGCCATGTTACGGAGAAGCGCCTGCGCGAGCACTTCTCCAAGCAGGGCAACATCACCGATGTCAAGCTGATGCGCACGCCGTACGTCATTCCCGGCTTCGCGGCCATCCCGCCCTGCCTGATCCCAGACTGACATGCCGCCTTTGCCGGTCCCTTCGTCACTCGCGTCAGTGATGGCGTGTCGCGCCGGTTCGCCTTCGTCGGGTACAACTCCGATGCCGATGCGGCCGCCGCGCAGAAGTACTTCAACGGGACCTTCATCGACACCGGTAAAATTATCGTCGAGCTGGCCATGGCCGTACGTCCCGATGCGATGTGCCCCCCCCCCCTCCTCCCCTCCTCCCCGGCGAACACCCCCATTGACTTTGTTGCGCCCCCCCCCCCTCCCCCCTCCCCTCTGTCGAAATGTGTGCTCCAGGTCAATGACCCGAACAAGGAGCGCCCCTGGTCAAAGCACTCGGAGGGCTCCTCGGCATACGAGAAGCGCCATGGGTCTGGCCTCCGGAAGCCCGCTGCGGCCGACAAGCCGGCTCACGATCCCGAGGCTGCCCTGGCGCACAGCAGCGTGCCCAAGTCCATCGAGAGCGACGCCAAGTTCAAGGGTACGCCACTCGTGTGTCTATCTTCGCCGATGGGCGTGCGCACCTTTTCGCCGGCCCGGCAGCCCGCTGCTAACCTGGTGCGGGCCTTCTGTCGCAAACCCATCCACACATACGCCTGCGCGCAGAATTCTTCGAGGCCATGCTGCCCCGTTCCAAGCAGAAGCTTTGGTCCAACGTCGACGGCACCAGCACCCAGCAGTCGGCCACTGCCTCGGCCCCGGCGAAGGCCACGGCCGAGGCTGCGGCCGCCGAGGAGCCCGGCGCGGACACCGGCAGCAAGACCGGCGGCCTGGTGGCCAAGCATGTGAAGATCAGCGGCGTGCACTCGCGCAAGCTCGGCGGCTCGGCCGTTGTGCTGAAGCGCATGCACGTTGTCTTCGACAGCGATGATGACGATGACGACGACAATGCGGGCGGGCCGCCGGCCAGCTCCAGCGCCACCTACGACGAGGCGATTCCCCAGCAGCCGGCTGCCCTGACGGCCGGTGCCCGGCCTGGCGATGTGGTCTTCGACGATGATGACACCGATGCCAGCGACGATGATGACTACCAGATGATCGGTGTCCCCCGGCCGGCCGGGGCGGCCTCCAGCTCCGACTCCGATTCCGACGGGGACATGGTCGAGAGTGATGACAGCGACAATGAGGAGGCGTCGCCCGCCCCCCCGGCGGCCGATCTGATCATGGGCTTCGATGATGAGGTGGATGAGACTGGCCAGCTGCGCGAGCCGGTCGCCGCCGATGCCGCCAATGCCGCCAATGCCGCCAATGCCACCGCCCCGGAGGACGACCACATCGACACGGACAATGTGCAGGATGCCGCATCGGCCCATGCGCAGATCGCGGAATCCGGGCGCCTGTTTGTCCGGAACCTGGCGTACACCACCACCGAGGCGGACTTGCGCGGGCTCTTCCAGAAGTTCGGCCCGGTGGCCTCGGTGCACATCCCCCTGAGCTCGGGCGAGGCCCGCAAGAGCAAGGGCTTCGCGTACATCCTGTTCATGATGCCGGAGCACGCGCTCAATGCCTATGCCGAGCTGGACCGGTCCTTCTTCCAGGGCCGCATTTTGCACGTGTTGCCGGCGCGGCCGGCGCGTGACACCGCCACCGGGCCGGATACCACCGCCCCCGATGGCCGGCCCCTCAGCTTCAAGGAGAAGCGCCTGGCCGAGCGAAAGGCCAATGCCGGCGATGTGGCCACCTGGAACTCGCTCTTCCTCAACCCGGACACCGTGGCCTCGGCCATGGCCGATCGCCTGGGCGTCAGCAAGGCCCAGCTGCTGGACTCGCATCGGGCCAGCGCCGGGACCGCCAATGCGGCCGTTCGCCTGGCCCAGGCCGAGGCCCAGCTCGTCCAGGAGACCCGGCAGTTCCTGGTGGACTGCGGCGTGTCGCTGGATGCCTTCCAGGGCGAGGCGTCTAAGCGCTCGGCCGGCCGGTCGGATGTCTGCATCATCGCCAAGAACATGCCCTACGGGGTGGACGGGGCCCAGCTCCAGGAGAGCTTCGCCAAGTTCGGCCAGCTAACACGGGTGCGCATGTGTCTTCCCTTCCCCCCCCCCCCCCCCCCCGGGGGGCCCCCCCCCCCCCCAGGGCCCCGACGGGGGGAGGGGCGGAGGGAGGGTGGCCGTGTGCCGTGCCATCCTCCCGGCGCCACATGCCGCCGGTGCTGGCGCTCCGGCTTTCCCCCTCGTCTCTCGACTTTTTGCGCGCACCAGCACACCGCCCTTTTTCCACCCAGCGCTCCCCTGCCCTTGCCTCCATGTGTGTGCGTGTGTGAGTGTGTGGCCCGGAGGCCGCCGGGGGTCGGGTGCGTCGCCCGCACTCCCTGCGTGTTCATGCGCGCGTGTGTGCTTGTGGAGGGCCTGTCCAGGTCCCTGGCGGCTGCTGCCGGTGGTTAAATACTGGGCCGCTCTTGGCCCCCGTGCCTGTTGGCGCAAACGCGCGTGCGCTACGGGCCGCCGCTGGGGCCGAAGGGGCGGGAGGCGGGCCGCCACGCCCCCCCCCCCCCCCCCCCCCGGGGGGGCCGGCCGCCAGCCCGGTGGTTTGAATTTCCCCTGGCCGACACGCTAACTTCCCCATGCAATGCACATACCCACATGTGCGCTTTGCGTCCTTCCCCTGCCGCATCCTTGACGGACGCTTGTAGTTCATCATGCCGCCGACCAAGACCGTAGCGCTGGTGGAATTCTCCGAGCCGACCGAGGCGCGTGCGGCCTTCCGTAAGCTGGCCTTCTCCAAGGTCCAGGACATGCCGCTGTACTTGGAGTGGGCCCCGGCGGGGACATTTACCGCCTCCGTGGTCCCTGGCGCCGGGCCGATGGTGGCCATCGGCAAGCTGGCACCCGAGGGTGCCGGCAGCGGGGCCACCGAGCCGGCCGCTGTCCGGACCACCTCCGAGTCGCTGGTCCTGGCTGACTCCTCTGGCACGGGGCAGCCAGCCGCCGAAGGCACCCCCGCCGCCGCCGCCGCCGCCGCCGCCGCCGCCACCGCCGCGTCGACGGTCGGCGATTCCGAGGGCTGCACGGTCTTCGTCAAGAACCTGAACTTCTCCACCACCGACGAGACCCTGCACACGGTGTTTGCGGCGGTTGGTCCTCTGCGCAGCGCGCAAACCACCAAGAAGACCACGCGCTCCGGAGAGAAGGTGCGTGTGTGTGTGGGTGTGGGTGTGTGTGTATCTATTCGCCGAGGGGGGAGCCGCGCACATGGCGCACGCCTGGCCATGTCACACGGCCGCATCCTTTGATCGCCATCCTTACTCGCCCGCTTTCCCCTTCATGACGCATCTAACCCGTGCTATGTGGTCATTTTGCAGCTCTCCATGGGCTTCGGGTTTGTGGAGTTTGTCCATGCCTCCGATGCCAGCAAGGCCATTCAGAATCTGCAGGTTCGCATGCTTATTCCCCCTTGGACTGCTCTTTGCCGTGCTTTCCCGCCCGTACTCACGCTGGCATACCACCACCACCACCACTACCACAGGGCACCACTCTTGACGGCCACTCTCTCCAGCTGAAGCTCTCTCACCGGAAGAGCGGCGCTGGCGATGGGGCTGAGAGCCGGAAGTCCGCCCGACGCCCCGATGCCCCGGCCGGCTCCGGAACCCCGTCCAACAAGCTGGTCATCCGCAACGTCCCATTCCAGGCCACCCGCCAGGAGCTTCGCCAGCTGTTCATCCCGCACGGCACCATTCGGTCTCTGCGCCTGCCGCGTAAGTTCGATGGCAACCACCGGGGTTTCGCCTTCATCGAGTTCGCCACCGAGTCCGAGGCGGCTGCCGCGCGCGCCGCCGTCGAGACCCATCTTTACGGCCGTCGTCTGGTCATCGAGTGGGCCTCGACCGAGGACGCGTCGGTGGATGCCGACGCTGCCATGCATCGCGCCGCCCGGGACTTCGAGAAGGCCAACGCCGTGCCCACCGGCCGGGGACCGCGCCAGCAAAGCAAGAAGATCCGCATCAGTCGTGACGGCGAGTAGGACATCGGCACACGCATGCTTCCTTGGGCCCCCCCCCCCCCCCCCCTGCCACGGGGCCAATCGCTCGCGGTGTTTGTTTCCCCTCCCTCGCCCTTGGGCTCTTGTTGTGGGCGGCTCCCCTTCCCCCTCGGCCGCCATCCTCCTGCCGGACGCGCGCGCGCTCTCCCTCACTTCCCCCTCCAGAACCGTGGGCCCGGCTCCACAATAGACTGTATATTAACTGTAACCGACCCTGAGTGGGCATGTGACATGGGGGCCTGAGCACGCCATCTTCCCGGGATCGACCAGATCTCCGTTGCCGTCCTCTGCCCGTGTGGGGGATCTCTCTCTGTGTGTGTGTGGCCCTTCGGCTCCCGGTCGGGCCACAGCCTCACACCGGCGGAAGGGCAGGCTCTCTTCACCCACGGCAGGGGACACGCCCAGGCCCCCCTGCCCTCCTCCGCCCTTCACCAGGGGGGGGGG